TCACAGTTTTCGTTCCACTCAAGAACAGTTCACGTGTTTCTGTCAGAACCTTCTTCTCCGATAGTTCGTCATTATCGCTACAACTCTGAAGGGGAGAAATCAAACATTTTCAAAACATCCCATACAACCGAGTAACTTTACGGATTACCTAGAGAGGTGGGGTGCTTCAATAAAGTATGGTGGGCTGAACGGTACAGTGGTTCATGTATCCTACTAAGAAATGATAAACTGCTTATGGTAAAACATATCCCTCGTCTTGTCTATGAGGTTGACTTGAGGACGAATGCCACGCTTACTTGGATCGACTCGTGGATCAACTTGACTCCCGTATCAAGCAAGGAGAAGACGAGGGAAAGGGATAGTGAGGAAGGTCGGCGACGGGGGATGGAGGGGGCATTTCGCACTCCCGCTGCTTCAGCAGTTCCAGTTTACAAGTCTCATTCTGGTGAAACCTGTGAACTCTTGTGAAGCTGGAGCAAGCTCGTCGAGCCACCATGGTAAAACCTGTCAACTCTTGTAAGCTCATGAAATAGCTCTTGGCTCGACACAGGGTGTATGTCAATAGGCGCGATCACGTCGCCATTGACGTGCCAAAACATGCCAGGCAAACAGCCTTCCAGGTCGGGCAACTCGTCCGAAATTTCAAACTAGTGCATTTCTCTGAAGTGACCGTTAGGAGAAGACTTGACTAAATGGCAAGAGCATCAAGCCAGAGCTCAGGGCCTTATCTAGGCTATCAATTACGGAAACCTTATGCTTCAGTGATTCGGACGAGATTACCCAACTTGGTAGACACATTCCATTACCTGTCGGAACACGAAAACGGCAACGTAATCGCGCCAAACGACCGCCTCCCCTGACACGTTGATGGGAAGCAGCAAAAAAGCCCCCGTTGCCGAACTGCGCTAGGGGTAGTTGCCAGAGACAATAATGTAGAGCAAAGAAGTGACGAATGACAACTAGAGGACATTCAACACGTTCCGGACCGTGTGACACACACGATGTGCCATGAATTTTTCTTTGCGGGGTTCCATAGTCTATCGGGCATCTATTTACAAGCTTCAGAGTTATCACCCTTTTGGACATGACATATATCTCATACGAAAGTAAAAAAAGGATGAAATTATCATCATCGGGACTCCTCAAATGTCAGCTCCACCCCCCTCCGCTCCGCTACCTAAGCTGCCTGGCCGAATCTCGACGATACCTATAGCTCGCTGACTCGCGCTTAACCCACGATTGGGTGAGACGCAGGGACTTTAGCAAACCTTGCAGGACAAAGGACCCGGCTTGGCTGTGATCTCAGCTATCTTTGAGGTGAAATGCTGTTTGTGCCAACTGGGACAAAGTATTTTACAAAAACATTCCAATCATACTTGCATATCGCACATAGATTGGCTCCAGCCAACTTTGAGTGGTCACAGAAGTAACCTGAATAGATGTCGGCATGTATTTCCAAAAAGAATAGTAGAGCATTACACTCAGGCGCTTTGTGATCGGCCGAACGAACTAGCGGCTCAGCGCGGATCTCCGGTTCGAATTAGCATATCCTTTCAGCCGTACACCCACAGCAACACCGACGCTTGACTGACATCTCGGTATTCCTTCTCATGGTGGCTTCTCCTTTGAGACGACACTATAGCGATTTCTTACATTTTCGCATCTGATTGATACTATCAATGTGTGCGCTCGCAGAACCTTCCCATATTCCAGTGAAGCCATCGTCCGGACACATAGCATTGCTCTTTCTCCTGTGTCTAATCGTAGGCCAATGATATTGTTGTAAACTGGAATGAGCCGGCCTTAAATTGCATGACAAACGAGGAAGGGCGCTGTTTGACTTGGGAGGGGCATTTTGCACTTTCGCTAGTTCATTTTGTTGATTCCTGTTAAAATTACAAGTCACACCTTGGTGAGACCTGTAGACCCTTGTAAAAAGTGGACGAAACACCTGCGATTCCGTTGCTTTACAAGAATACACAAATCTCTACAGGATACATTAACAGCGCAGAATAGTAATCAGCACACCCCCCCCCCTACAAGCCGAATTGCGCCCGAGAACCACTTCGACCTGGTCGGTTCCCATCTATCGTCAACGATTTTTCAAAAAAAAGCCACAGAAATAAATCAGCAGCTGCAACAGGTTCTTTGACCAGCTGGAACTCTTTCTATATAAAGAGAAGCGAAAAATCTCCCATCATTGATTTTCTACCACGCTGTTAGCAAGGAAGAAGATCACTAAAACAGAACACAAAATTTGTAGAAGAAAACTCACAATATTTAATTAAGGGATGCATAATTTTCCTAGCTATTGGTCCCAGTGAATACAACCATAGCACAAAGTTGATCACACAGAAAGGGCGTTGAGCTCGATGTCGACGAAGTCCCGTAGGATTAACAAGCACCAGACCGGCTAATGTGTTCTGAGAAATGCCATTGAAAACAAAAAAGAATGAATTTGGTCTTTTTTTATTTAATGTCTTCAGCAGGATGCTGAACCCTTGGGCGCAATCTTTGAGTTTTTACAAGCAAAAACTCAAAGATTGTGCCTAAGGGTCC